TTCCACATACCCTTTGTACACAACAGAATTACCCCACTCTTCCAAGTCCTTCTGAGTTCACGGTAACCACCTTACTTACACCGACCAGAACAACGCCCTTCACGTACCCCCCAGACACAACACAGCACCGCGTTACTCCTACTCGCGCGGGGATTGTGAAAGATCAGGAATCAGCCAAAGAGCGGCGTTCCCGCAGGCAGCCCGAGCCCCGGGGCCCCGGGCAGGCCGAAGCCCTCGGGAGGAGCCGCGCTCTGCGGCGGTACCTGGGACACGGGCGGCGGGATGCTGTATTCCTGCGGGGCTCCGGCCGGGGCCGCCTCCGCCTCTGCCGCGCTGGGGCCGGTCCTGGAGCGCTTCCCCTTTCCCGCCGGGAGCGCCCCACGCTTCCTCTTGTCCGCTGCCATGTCGCCGCACTCCACGTGTGTCCTGCCCGCCTTTCCTGCGCTCGCACTTCCTCCGCTCCCGCTTCCTGCACCGCCCCTTCCGTCCTTCCCCGCTCCCGCCCCTCCTCTCCTGCCCCGCATCCAACCATGCCGTTCTCGGCGCCGCCGCCCGCCAGCGGCGAGCCCTTCGTGCTGTCCGCCAGCTTGGACAACGCGCGGCACCTCTCCAGCCTCCTGCGGGCCGTGCACTTCCAGGACCACGCCACGTGCTTCGCCACGGCCAGCGGGCTGCGCGTCACCGTGGAGGATGCCAAGTGCATCCAGGCCAACGCCTTCATCCAGGTAGGACATCGGCGAGGGGGAGGGCACCGCTGTGGGAGACCTTAGAAAGCTCCCGGGTACCGCCTGTGTCCAGTTCTGGGCTCCTCAGTACAGGAAAGACGAACAGCTGGAGAGGGTGCAGCGGAGGCCACAGAGATACTTAAAGCTCTGGAGCATCTCTCGTATGAGGAGAGACTACGGGAGCTGAGCCTGTTTAGGAAAGAGAAAGCTGAGATCTCATTAATGCATATAAATATTTCAAAGGAGGGTGGTGCCAGACTCTTTCCAGTGTTGCCCAGCAACAGGACGAGGAGCAGTGGCCATAAACTAAAACACAAAAAGTTCCACCTCAACATGGGGAAGAACTTTTTTACACTGAGGGTGGCAGAGCACTGGAACAGTTGCCCAGGGAATCGTGGAGTCTCCCCCTCTGGAGACATTCAAGACCCCCCTGGACGTGTTCCTGTGTCACCTGCAGTAGATGACTCTGCCTTGGCTGAGGTCGCTGAGATCCAGCGATCCCTTCCAACCCTAAGAATGCTATGATTCTGTGTTTACCTGCAGAGGAGGGGAGACTTGGCAGAACTGTGGCACAGGGGCAGGACCTGGCATGGAGGAAGGGCCACGGTGAGGCTGCCGTGGTTTATGTGGTGTCTGTGCTGCCGAAAGGCCAACCCCTGTGCCTGGTGTGTTCCTGCACGCCTGGCAGCTTGCTGGGCTGACACTCTTTTTTAATGTGTTGGCACCTGCCAGGCCCATGGCTCCTTCTGGTCATGCTGTGCATAAGCAACTTGTCAGATTATCCATCTTTAAGTGGTTTTATTATGTCTCATCCCAAAGACAGAAGGGTTTATGTCAGCTGTGAAAGAGAGCAGAGATTCATAGGTACTTATCTGAAGTTACCAGCTGGGCTAAGATGTTTGTGCTGTGCTCAGTGTGCTCCAGGATGGGGTTTGCCCTTTGGGTGGCCAATAAAATACTAAACTGCTTTTCCAAAAGCAGGTCATGTCACCCTGCTTTGTTTCTGAGATACTCTGTTCCTGCAGAGGCTACAAAGCAGTGAGTGCCAGTGGCAGATGGGAATGTGTAGAGCAGTTTACCCCCATCAGGCTACTCAAAGGCAGGGTTCAGCACATATTTCAGTGTGGTGAACTCAGTGTTCTGTTCTTAGATTCTTTTATTATTTGAAATGTTTGTTCATGCTTTGAGTGAAGAAAAGTAAGTATTGTTTCTGGAGAAGGGTAACACATTGTATAGTTCCATGAATGTTTCCAGCTCCAGAAGTAGGTAGCTTTAGGCTTTAACGTTTGTAGCGTGTTTTTAAAGCATAAAAGGCAAGTGTCTAGGTTTTCATGCTTATGCTATGCTACCTTGTTTTGAACTGTGACCTGATTGCATCTTGCTAGTTTTGAGGATGAAGATCCTTTTTACTGTAATTGAGACTGTGTTGCATGTAGAAACCACTTTGAGCGGGGCTGATTTCTGAAAGTGAAAGTTCTGAATTAAAGGAAATAAGTGAAAACTGTAAAATAATTAGAGAAACATCCTATTTTTCATCTCTTTAACTTACAGGCAGAAATTTTTCAGGAATTTGCTGTTCAGGAGGAATCAGTGATGTTCCGGATCAATTTGTCTGTTCTTCTTGACTGCCTGACCATTTTTGGCACCAGCTCTTTGCCAGGTGTGGTGTATTTCCTATGAATACTTGCAAGGCTGTGTGGGTGCTGCCGACTGCACTGTGTGCTCAGGTGGAGTGGAGTGATACCGTGGCAGTTCCTCGGGCAGTTCTGCCCTTGCAGCTGCGCATTGAACTCTGCGTTTTTCTACCATTTTGGTTGTGAATGACCTAAAGACCTGAATGGAGTGTACAAAAGGGCACAGTGATTTTGGGAAACCACATATTTAGGGGATGATTGTGTTGCAAAGGGAGGTTGTGACTGCAATGCAAGCTAAGCTGCATTAACTTCAGTTCAGGTTGCACAAATTACAGTAGTAGTGGAGCAACATGATGTGAGCCGCAGAGCCTCAGGACCACGAAGAATTTTCCAGTTCCTCTGAATTATTTGTAGCATATACATCTTCATTGTCACAGGTAACATTAACCTTCTTGGTAGATTAAACGCTTTGGATTTGAACTGTCTACACACAAATCGTTTTGTTTTGCTGCATAACACTTTGGAGTGTGTCTAGGAGGCCACACTAAGTCATGTAATGTATGTATTGGAGGCTGGAACAACATGGTGAATCAAATTGATCTGTGCCCCATGTGCCAGTAAAATGGGAATTTTCTAAAGTAGTCAAATGCACTAGCTTTGCTCTCTGCAGAATGTGTATTTCATTCCCTTTTTCAGGAACATCAACGGCCCTTAGGATGTGTTACCGTGGTTATGGTTATCCCCTGATGCTGTTCTTGGAGGAAGGAGGAGTAGTGACAGTGTGCAAAATTAACACTCAGGAACCTGAGGAGTTGTTGGATTTTGATTTCTGCAGTACAAAGGTTGTTAATAAAATCATCCTACAGTCAGAGGGGCTACGAGAAGCATTTGCTGAACTGGATATGACTAGTGAAGTTCTGCAGATTACCATGTCTCCAGATAAACCCTACTTCAGGTACTGGAAACTGTGCTGTCAACTCAAATGTTCGTGCTTGTCCTCCACTGGTGAGGACTGGAAGTTCTCAGGGTGGAGAGGAGGGAACTGTTTTGGGATACTGCTTCATTTCAGGAAGAATTGTAATGAATATGGCAAATGTATGTAATCTAATTAACATAGTGAACAGTTCTCAACTTGGTAGATGTGAAAATGGTTTGGACATGTTAGCATTTTTAATTAAAGGGAAGCAGGCAGCTGTGTTTTGTGAGAGAGGCATTGGGATGTGCACAGTGACTGCTTCTGATGGGTTTTTAGAGAGCTGTGAGCAGGTATTTTGAGGTGGTGCTTTTTGTCTTCCAGGTTATCCACTTTTGGAAATGCTGGAAGTGCACATCTGGACTATCCTAGGGACTCTGATTTGATGGAAGCATTCCACTGTAACCAGACTCAGACAAACAGGTTAGGAAGTCTTTGACCCATATGCCCTCTGTGCCAGGTCATGTGTTCTTGATGGGAAGATTAAAAATGGTTCTTGCATTTCTGTAACACTTACTTCACTAGTATGGGGGAAAAAAATATTTCCTATCTGTTAAAATCTGTGTCTGTAATCAAAAATTAAGTGTTAACAATATCAGTCTGATGTTGTTACCAGGTAAAGACCAAATAAGTGTGTTCCCAATTGTTTTTTATTTATTCCATGGCATTGTTTGGAAGTAATGTTTCAGCTCTTCTTTACACAATGTATTTTTTTCAGATTATTTTCTTTTTCCCCTGTAGGTACAAGATTTCTTTGCTTAAACCATCTACAAAGGCATTGGCTTTATCTTGTAAAGTGTCCATTCGAACAGATGCTCAAGGATTTCTTTCACTTCAGTATATGATCAGGAATGAAGATGGACAGATCTGTTTTGTGGAATACTATTGTTGCCCTGATGAGAATATTGCTGAAGCAGAACTGTAGGGGTATGTGTTGGCATCTGTAATATATTTTTTATTATATAAAATAGTGTATTTTTTTTACAAAGTAAATGAAAGCTGTAAAGATTGATAGGCTTAATAGTGTCTTTTTTTTAAACTCTGGAATAAGAAATCTGAGGACTTTAATTTTCTTCCCTTGCATTTCTTAGCCTCGACTCAAAAAAACTGACTCTGAAAAAGCAAAAAGTGGAGTTGATCTCTTGTAGACACTGGTTGCAGCACATATGTTAAAGTAGTGTTTGTATAATACATTGCTGCTTTTTACAATTTTCTCCAAGAATTTTTGTTTCTGTTTTGGTTTTTGTCTTTGCCTTGCAGTGAGCAATTACACAAGGGAAAATCTGAATGCTAGCTGTATATTAGGCAGTTAACTTTCAGTGACTTAAAGCCAAATTTGTCTTGAAAGAGGATAGGTAAAATTTTCAAACTGATTTCTTTCTGTCAAATGCTGACCTGTTTTGTCAGTGAAGCCACTAGGCTTCTCCTCCTCTTGATTAATTCTTAATATAACTCAATTCCTTGGAGTTTCATCTGATACCAGTTCACCATTTTGTCTGCACTACTGGTGTTGAATTGGTAAATGGATACAGAAGCCAGGATTTACTTGCTCATTACTCAGAACTGTTTTGGCGACATCACTGTTTATTGGATCAGTGATTTATTACACATCTGCAAGAATGCTGCTACTGAGGTGTTTCTGTATGTGCATGACCCTGTTCCTACCCTGCTACTCTCTACCTCTACTGTTAAAAACCTTAAGAAGAGAGAAAAGTTTCATATTTAAAATTATGAAATTTTTTTATCTTCTCAGTAGCCTTTTTCAGCAACAGAAGGCACTCCTAAACTGGAGTTTCTACAACCTCAGACTGTGGTCAAGTTTTGTTGTTTGTCAGATAAGGTCCTGCTTTGCACCGATGGAAAACAGTACGTTTGTATCTTACCAAGTGGATTGCTCCACAATCCAACAGAACCCAAGTCCTTTGGGATTATTTTAAGTTTAAAATACTTCTGTTTACCATTTTTCACATCTTCCTTATGTCAGCAAGAGTACACTTTCAGAGTGCACAGTGTTAGTAGCTCAGTTTTGTTGTCTCCCATGCCAGTCATCCGTTTATTGCAATAAATTTTACAGTTGAAAAACAATTACAAGTTTTTGAACTACAGGGCGGATAAAGATACCTGATAATATTTGAAGTTACTCTTAATTTGGTTTGGTTTTGGTTTTTTTCCAAACTAAAGTATTCAGTGTAGGTGAACTTCCTTTTGGCTTACTGTTTGAATTTTTTCAGTGAAAAAAAAAGTTATGCTGTCATTGGGAATTATTGATGTTATTCCTGACTACACATGTTAAGAATGATTTGCATAATCTCCGGGCAACAGGATAAAAATGAAGCAGAACACACTGCTTCCTTAGTGTGTTGTCAGAGGTTTTGCTCTGGGTCAATTTTTTCTCACCCCCCCCCCCCCCAATTACTATAAATTGAGAGAAGGTTTATGCAGACAAAAGAGATCCAACTGGGGATAATAATATTAAGTTTTATTACTAGCAAGATAAAAACTGAAGAACTACATCTACAATAATTCTAATTAGGTAAAAGTACTATGTATTTACAGATATACCCCTCCCCACTTTGTATCAGTCCAGGAGGAGAAGCAGTCTCATTCTCCATTTTCAGAGCTCCGGGTCTTTTCAATAACTGCAGCACTGAAAAGCTCTTCTGTTATCTCTAGGATGACAACTCCGATTTGTCACAGCTGGAACCATTTGTCTATCTCTCTCTCTCCCATGTCGGCCTCAGGGCTGGGCCTACCCTCCTCCTGGGCTAAGACCGGAGGCTGGGGGGTTACCCAGGCCCTGAAGGGTCTTCCATGGACTGCAAGGGGACACTTGCCTACTGTGGATCTTCACCACAGGGTCACAGGGGATTAATGGCTTTTGAGTCCACCCCTGTTTCCTGTGAGGTCCCTTCCCGTGAGAGAACAGTCCTGAATAGACTTTTCCAACGTGAGTCCATCTCTCAGACAACAGGTCTTCCGTTCTCTGCTGTCTCTCAGGGTCACAAATTTAGCTGCACCAGCATGGATCCTTCACAGGGATCCCAACATCCTACTCGAGCCATTCTGCTCCAGCGTAGGTCTCCCTCAGGGTCACAGATCTCCAGCAGGACTCAGCCTCACCTCAGGTCTCTCATAAAGTCTCAGCCTCCTCGTGCATCAAGTTATTCCACGAGCTCCCTCCACGAGCAGCATGGGGGTCTCCTCACCCCAAAAAACTTCCACAAGTGGCAGGGTTTTATTTTTCAGTCTTTTCCCTGCTGAAGGGAGAGAAAGAGAGCGAGCGAGCGAGGGGGAAGAAGCAGCCCCCGCTTCAAACTTCACTCTCCTGCTGCTGCCAGCTTGGCCTTGAAAGCTGTGCTCTCTCTCTCTCTGGAATTCCTTTTGCAGCATGTCTTGTCCATGTTCTTTAAAGTTTTTTCTCCTCTGCTCTCTTACAGGAGAAAGAAGGGGGCTTTCAGTGCCACACTTGCCTCCGGCCCAGGGCTGGGGGAGGAGGGAGGCCTGGCCCCCACCTGGGGCCTGACACTACTCCCTAGATGGCTACCAATTTCAACTGCACAACAAGCTTCTCTTCTTTTTTTCTTAAAAATGTCATTGGCAGAGGCGTTACTGAAACTTTTGATTGGCTTTTTTTCCCAGAAACCCACCTGGGCAAAACCATCCTCAGCCCTAGGGGCTGGCTGGTGGGCAAAACCACAACATGTGTTTTATTTCAGAGTATCCAGGTTCCTTGTGTTGTGTTCAAAGATGTTGCTGTGGCTTAGCATTTGTATTTTTGTGTGATTGAGGGCACAGGCTCCATTCTGGTGCAAAACAAAGACCTTTATTTTTACAATGCACATACCTATATACCCTGGGCAGAATGATTTGGGATTGTTCACTTAAGCTTACTGCATAATTCAGGAAATGCCTTAGAGGTACAAATAGCTACAGTCCATAGCAACCAAGGGCCTTCCTGCATGGTTCCTGTTTCTTCTTCTCCTGTTCCCTTGTGCTTTCATGGATATGGTTCAAGGGGAACAAAAACATGGGAATTCTGGGCTACAGCCTTGGTGCTATATGGCAACAAGTGGATTTGAGATCCATCTGTGATGGATTCTTTTACATCTCTATTTTCAAACAGTAAAATAAAAATGGTGGAGAGGAAAATGACTGGAAAGGCACTGCATCCTTTTGACCTTGGAAGTTACTTACATTCCGCAGGCTCCACTGCTCGATTAGGTTTAAGTTCCTGCCACACTTTGCATGAGATCCAGAACTCGGGTTAGTTTAGTACTTTTTCTCTCTGCTATTTGACAAGTCTCTTCCCCTTGCAGACTATGGGAAATCTGCAGCAGAGGAAATGTTTATTTCATGGTTTTTCTGTTTTAGTGGTATCACAGGACAGACTTGCCATAACTCAGATTTTGCCCACCTGCTCTCTTATAAAATGGTCCATGTAAGTACTCAGAATTAGTGGTGTAAAGTAAACCAGTTGCTGGGGTGGGAAGTGTAACCAGCGTCTCCTACTCAGGTTCAATTTAGCTGTGGTAGGAGCTGCTGGGCAGCTCTGATGGGGTAGCACTGGGGCTGTGGGCATCCCAGATCCAGGGGCCACAAAACAAAGTATTCTGATTCATGCTTTTCAGGTTAAGAACTGACCTCAGGTCCTCAAGAAGGCATTTCTTTGATTCTACCAGAAAACAACTAGGAAGCCTTGAGTTCCCACCAGACTGTAAAGATACCAAAAGTCGAAAAAATGCCTTTGGCTCCTGATCCTGACAGTCTTTATGTAGCAGAACTCAACAATGCCAGTGCTGATGATATTTCCTGCCTCCCAGCACACTGAGTTCTTGTGTCTCCTTGGCTTTCTACAACCATTTGAGTCTGTAA